CATATATGTGGTGGCCATCAAACCTTGTTCAAGTCTCTCTTTTCAAGTAATTGCAGTTCTAATTTTCTAAATTTCTGAGCATTGAGAATTATCAAAACTGATTCTTTTGCATATTTTGTTTGTCATTTACTTGGCCAGAGCACTGCATCTTAAGGAGAAGAGAAAGAAGGGAAGTCTAACAAGGTTTCAGTTCTTCATATTAGTCTTCATTGGAAGCTTTGCTTACTATGCCTTCCCAGGCTTCCTCTTTCCGGCCATCTCAAGCATCTCTGTTCTTTGTTTAGTATATAAAAATTCCATCACCATGCAGCAGCTTGGATCTGGACTAAATGGGCTTGGCATTGGATCCTTTGGTCTCGATTGGTCAACCGTTGCCGGCTTCCTCGGAAGCCCGTTGGCCACACCTGCAACTGCAATTTTCAATATAATGATAAGCTTCTTCTTAGTGGTTTATGTGCTTCTTCCACTAGCATATTGGACTAACATTTACAATGCCAAACGCTACCCATTGATCTCGGCTAATGTTTATGACTCTTTTGGCCAACCCTATAACACAACAAGAATCATCAATGATAGGAGCTTCACTCTAAATGTTCAAGAAGAAGAGAATTATAGCAAGTTGAACATAACTGCTGCTTTTGCTTTGGTTTATTGCATGAGCTTTGCTAGCTTAACGGCTACAATCATGCATGTTGCTCTCCATCATGGAAAGTAAGTATAGATTATGGTTTAGTTTGGGACAACTTTCTTACTGCTTCTTAAAGCAGTTTTTTAGTAGAACAAATAAAATTTTTATACTAGAAAGCTGTTTTAAGAAGCAATAAGAAATCATCCCAAACGATGCCTATGACTTTGAGACTACTTATCACCAGCGTTTGTTGAAGTAAGAAAAAAAACTTATTATGAGGTTTTGAATTTATAGGGATATTTGGAGGATGTGGAAAAATTCAAAAGAATATGCTAAGGAGAAGATGGAGGATGTTCATACCAGATTGATGAAGAGAAATTATGAGCAAGTACCTCAATGGTGGTTTATTTTGCTCTTAGTTGTGGTCATTGGACTCTCCATGTTTACTTGCCTAGGATTTGATAGACAACTGCAACTTCCATGGTGGGGGGTATTATTGGCTGCCACTATGGCTATGTTATTCACATTACCTATTGGAGTCATCGTGGCAACGACAAATCAGGTACTTATTTTATATGACATGCAACAAGTTTTTTTTAATATATTGTGTTAAAATTTAAGTTTAATTTTGGAGAAATTTGATCACAGAACCTTGATAGTAACTTCTACTATTTTATCAAATAAGCTAACACACACCTACTGACTCACACATTCAACAAAATGCAATACCAATATGTCAAAGCTCTCAAATCTCTCAAGTGCTATAAGTAAAGCAAAGCCATTTTTTTTCACCCAAATATATGATTCAATTAAACTATTAGTGTAGAAAAAACTTGGGGTCAAAATTGTTCACTTAAAAAAAGATAATCAATTGAAATGCACAAAAACATCTAGAAAATTAGGGGACATGGGATATCATATTCAAGATCAAATGCTTAAGTATTTCATTGATCTACTCAAACCAACAATAAAAAGATAAGAGAAAAGTAGGTAAATTACTATGCATGCTAACTTAACTTCTCATTGCTAATTAATTATCATGCAGGCACCAGGGCTAAGTGTTCTTTCTGAGTACATCCTCGGCTTAATGTTACCAGGAAAGCCTCTAGCAAATGTGACGTTCAAACTATATGGCACAATAAGCTTGTGGCAGGCACTCACACTTCTTAGTGATTTAAATCTGGGCCAGTATATGAAAATACCCCCGAAGTCCATGTTCATCACACAGGTAATTTGAGCTAGTGGAAGCCATTGACACAAATTTGATGTTTTTAGCCTTGATATCATTTCAATTATAAGATAAAAATTGAGAAAATTCTTAAGAGATAAAAAAAGGCTAAAAAGATGACTTGTTAGATATAGTTTTATCATGACATGCACTTGAAAATCCATATTGCAATTTTCAAGTGCAGCATAGTTGCCTATTGTAAATGTAAAGCCTCTCTCTCTCTCTCTCTCTCTCTCTCTCTCTCTCTCTCTCTCTCTCTCTCATGCAAAGTCTAATCTAAACATTTCCCTCTAGACAACAATTTGGTAAAACATGGTAATAACAACAACAACAGTAACAGCCGGTAATTCCGGCGGTCAAACGCTGATTTTCATGTAGTGAAGCCTTTATCCCACTATGTGGGATCATCTAAAAGAAAATATAGAAGTTTTCTAACATGTCTATATTTTTTGTGGTTAAAATCACAGTTTACAGGCAGTGTGATAGCAGCTTCTATTTCCTACGGAACAGCATGGCTGCTTCTTGATACTGTGGAGCACATATGTGACCCAAGTAAACTTCCACCAGGGAGCCCGTGGACTTGCCCTGGTAGTGATGTTTTCTACAATGCATCCATCATTTGGGGCCTTGTTGGACCAAAGAGAATGTTTGGCAAGCTTGGACACTACTCAGCTTTGAACTTCTTCTTCCTTATAGGCTTTTTGCTACCCATCCCATTTTGGTTGCTTGCAAAAGCCTTACCTCAAAACAAGTGGTTTAAGTACATTCACATTCCCTTACTCATCTCAGGTGGATCTGGTGTTCCACCAATACACTCAGTGAACTATACAATGTGGGGTGCGGTTGGAATTTTCTTCAACCATTATATTTACAAAAGGCATAAGGAATGGTGGGCAAGGCACACCTATGTAATGTCTGCTGCTTTAGATGCTGGAGTAGCTTTCATGGGAATACTGATCTTTTTTGCCCTACAATCACATAACATCTTTGGAATTAATTGGTGGGGAGGTGCAGCAGAAGATTATTGCCCACTTGCAACTTGCCCTACAGCCCCTGGAGTTGTAATTAAAAGTTGCCCAGTGTTGTAAAATTGTCAAGAGCTGACCTTGAGATGCATAATCTATGTTATGCTTACTTTGAAATCCTTCCAGTTAATTGTGTACATAAATGCTAGTTCTTAATATCATTCAATGTTACAAAATTCAAAAACAGTTATCTAGTTAAAGTTTTAATTAAACAAATATATATATATTTTTGAGATATTTACATGCATAACACTCAAAATCTCATCATTTACACATTTAACTTCTAAATTTTACATTCTATTAACACTTAAAGTAGAACATTCTCATTGGTCCCCCATCATGAACTCTAGCGAGATCCTCATCCTAACCTCCTAGTTTCCACCCTCTAGCCCATCATGACATATAGGATTTCATTGTTAATGGAGTTAGGAAGATGATATATTCTATAAATAGTTAAGTATAACGTTAAATATGTAATTGATAAAATTTTGAGTGTTATGTAGGTAGATTAAACATCTTGAGATGGCACATCCCACATACTTCATTAATATAAAGTAGAAAATTTGCATGAGATCTTACAACTTTTGATGCAAAGCACTAACAAGAAATTGAATTGGAGTATTTGATTTAACTTGGTTTGACGAAATAGATTCTCATACATGTTTAGAATTGCATGATTCATGATCCAAAATTAAAACTCCAACCAAGACAAATCAGTTTGACTTTAAGCCCAATAAGGTTAGCTTCTTCTTCCTTGTGCACTCAGCCCGAAAGTTTAATTTAATGGTAATCACTTGTGGGTTCCAAATATTCACACCCCGGCCTCTCCGTTCCCCTTTTCTCTTTATTTTTTTTTCGTGTTGTCGAGGAGATTTCTAATGCTCAAGTTCCGGGGAAAATTTTCATAAGGCATAACCCAGAGATTTCGCCCTCATTTTGCAAAGACTTTATGATATGAGTTCAGGTTTTCTATAGGCACAAGCCCTATAATGATTAATTACCCCTCTTGATAACGAGAGTGAACTTTCGATTAAGGCTAGTCGTCAAACAAATACGTGGTATTTGGAGAATAGTTGCAGCAGAGTTTAAGTATAAAAAATTTACCACATTGCACTTAAAGCGGATGGTGGGCAGAATAATGATAGACCCGATCAAAATCCCATGGTTCCTTCATCTCAGGTCATCATGGTCCCTAATCTACTTAGTCAAAGGAAGCAGTCAACCCAACCTGACAGAAGGATCATTGTCAGGCTATTCGTTGCTTCATCCAAGGGTACCTTATAGGCTAGAGGCCCTAAGGGGATATATTTGAATCCACTTTATTTCTATTTTTAAATTTTTCATCAATAAAAATAATGATAAAATTGTAAAAATACACTATAATAAAGATTTTATTTGAGTCGGTTTAAATTTTTTATTTTTATGGGCAGAATTTATTTAAAAATATTCTTTTAACAACTGTAAGATAAATTATTAGAAAAATAAAAAAATCATGAAAGTTTTTTATCCAAATTTTATTTTTCTTAATTGACTTTAAATTTAATAAAAATACCTACTGGCCGTTTTATAAATAAAAAAATATTCAATTTATTTATTTTCCAAAATATCAGGCCACAAATTGTCCTCTTCTATCGGGCAATAAATAAATTATAAAAATCTATAAGAGTCAAATAGTATAACCTATACTAACTTTATAAATTATAAGAGTCAAATAGTATAATCTATACTAACTTTATAAACTATAAGAGTCAAACAGTATAATCTATACTAACTTCTAATAAAATAATAATACAAACTTCATTTTATAAATAAGAAATTATCAGGAAAAGTTAACAGATGCTAATAAATAATTTTTATAAATGATAATTTTATAAATAAGAAAAATAATTTTTTTTTAAATTTTAAATCTTATACTAAAAATTCTACAACAATATATTGTATGTTTAATATCTTAATTTCGGATTTTTAAAAAGTTAGGATAAAATCACAGGATCTGACTCAGTTGCAATAATCCGCTATACAATAAAAGATACAAGAATTTTCTCTTTCCCACAATTGAAGTATATAAAATTATACATAATTAAGAACAATTATCTAATTCCCAGTTTTTCCACAAGCAAATAATTAAAATTCAACGATAAAATTATATGTTAATAGTTAAATGATAATATCATTAAATTTCATCTGATCGGATCATCTGTAACGTTAATGTGTTCGTACCACGTAGAAGTTCAATTCCGATATATGTTAATTTTCAATTCAAATACTACCTCGAGATTTGTACCGATCAAACAATTTTTTTTGTTGACTCATCAAATAGGTCTTTTAAAAACCAATTATACTCATCAAACTAAGAAATTTTCAAAATAAAACCCAATTTACTTATCTTTAAGCCTCAAAACATAACAAAGAAAAAATCGCCTGATTTTGGATAAAACTATAACAAAACAATGGAAGTTCATAATTTTTGATAAAACCAAACGCAAAGTTATGTTAGTCTCTTTCATCAAGTTGTATTTACCATGGAAGGGCACTGCTCAGTTGAAAAATTCAATTCAAATAATATAAATTAATAAAAAAATGATGTAAAGGTACCTATTTAAATCTAGAGAGAACACAATGGCTTGCTGTATAATTTCATTGAAATTTCTTTTTTTTTCTCTCTGAGTGTTTCAGTGCCATGGAAGAAGCTTCAGTTCCTTCTGCTTCACCAACAAGCTCGAAATATGGCTTAGATCCTGCAGAAGGCTGGCAGGGTATATGTTTTATCATAAAGTACACATTTTATATCATCCTCTTGAAAAAGAGAAATCTTGTATGTCATATCATATATATCATATGCACTGACCATCATATGATATTTTTTTTTATATATTTAAGTACACAGAAAATATCATATACTAGTCATTCTAATACAATAGAAAGCTCATCTCTACTACTCTCACATAATTAAAAAATTATTCTGTGCGGACGCCGAACGTCGTCTGGAGACTAACCAGAATACATCACGTCACCCCTTCGCTCAGTATCGTGGCTCGATATTGCTGATGTGGCTGCACCTGATTCGCCTCCGAACATAGAGCCACGTCCGACCTCCGCACAGAATAATTTCTCCATTTCAATAGTTTAGCCATTAACATAGCTTATTAGCCAAAATACTGAATTGTTTTTCAAGTATCTGATCTAATAAGCCATTTTCAGTTGAAGAGAATGACCATCCCATTGAGGAAGTAAGACTAACAGTGGATCCAACAGACAATCCAACTCTCACAGTACTAACTTGGCGTGTATGGGTGCTTGGTGTGATGTCATGCGCTTTGCTCTCATTTACAAACACATTATTTGGATACAGAACAAACCAGCTGTATATCAGTTCTGTTTGTGTTCAGATTATCAGTCTTCCTATAGGAAGGTTTCTGGCAAAATCTCTTCCTAAGAAAGACATAAAGTTACCTTTCACAAATTGGTCCTTCTCGCTCAATCCAGGTCCCTTTTCGATGAAGGAGCACTGCCTCATCACCATCTTCGCCGGCGCAGGCTCCGGCGGCGCTGCCGCCATCGGAATAATAACTATTGTTAAGGCTTTCTATCACAGGAAGATACATCCCATGGCAGCATTTCTGCTAGTACATAGCACACAGGTGAGAAAGAAAATCATAAGAAGTATTAATTGATAAAGCAACAATGAGAGAGGAGAAGAGAAAGAAGGGAAGTCTAACAAGGTTTCAGTTCTTCATATTAGTCTTCATTGGAAGCTTTGCTTACTATGCCTTCCCAGGCTTCCTCTTCCCGGCCATCTCCAGCATCTCTGTTCTCTGTTTAGTATATAAAAATTCCATCACCATGCAGCAGCTTGGATCTGGACTTAATGGGCTTGGCATCGGATCCTTTGGTCTCGATTGGTCAACCGTTGCCGGCTTCCTCGGAAGCCCGTTGGCTACACCTGCAACTGCAATTTTCAATATAATGATAAGCTTCTTCTTAGTGGTTTATGTGCTTCTTCCACTAGCATATTGGACTAACATTTACAATGCCAAACGCTACCCATTGATCTCAGCTAATGTTTATGACTCTTTTGGCCAACCCTACAACACAACAAGAATCATCAATGATAAGAGCTTCACTCTAAATGTCCAAGAAGAAGAGAATTATAGCAAGTTGAACATATCTGCTGCATTTGCTTTGGTTTATTGCATTAACTTTGCTAGCTTAACGGCTACAATCATGCATGTTGCTCTCCATCATGGAAAGTAAGTATAGATTATGGCTTCGTTTGGAACAATTTTCTTACTGCTTCTTAAAGCAGCTTTCTAGTAGAACAAATAAAATTTTTATAATAGAAAGCTGCTTTAAGTAGCAATAAGAAAACCATCCCAAATGAAGCCTATGACTTTGATATTACTTATCTCCAGAGTTTGTCAAAGTAAATTAAATTAAAAAAAACTTACTATGAGGTTTTGAATTTATAGGGATATTTGGAGGATGTGGAAAAATTCAAAAGTATATGCTAAGGAGAAGATGGAGGATGTTCATATCAGATTGATGAAGAGAAATTATGAGCCTGTACCTCAATGGTGGTTTATTTTTCTCTTAGTTGTGGTCATTGGACTCTCCATGTTTACTTGCCTAGGATTTAATAGACAACTGCAACTTCCGTGGTGGGGGGTATTATTGGCTGCCACTATGGCTATGTTATTCACATTACCTATTGGAGTCCTCATCGCAACGACAAATCAGGTACTTATTTATATGACATGCAACAAGTTTTTTTTAATATGTTGTGTGTTAAAATATAAGTTTAATTTTGGAGAAATTTGATGACAGAACCTTGATAGTAACTTCTACTATTTTATCAAATAAGCTAACAGACACCTATTGACTCACACATTCAACAAAATGCAATACCAATATGTCAAAACTCTCAAAGCACTCAAGTGCTATAAGTAAAGCAAAGCCATTTTTTCACCCAAATATATGATTCAATTAAACTATTAGTGTTGAAAAAAATTGGGGTCAAAATTAATCACTTAAAAAAGATAATCAATTGAAATGCACAAAAACAT